AAATTCAACAAGAGCAACCACGTTATAGGCCTTTGTTCTATTTAAAATAATTTCTTTAAGTATTCGTATACATGCTTCTGCGTAGTTGTTGGTATTATTTCCTCTAGTTAAAATGTCCCTMCTATACATTAAAACCCATTCTTTCTTTCTCTTCAAATAGTTCTCAAATCGTTTAACAAAAGTAGGAAACTCATCGGTCAAGTTCTGAATATTATTCACTGCTTCATAAAAATTATGTTCATCTGTAGCATATAATACCTGAAAATTATATATTGTTATTCTATRTTATAGTTATTTTATTATAATTTGTTATTAATAAATTTCAAGACAATGACGTTAGTTAATAGATATTTAAACATTTTTATTAAGATTTCAATAGTTAGGTATTTTAAAATTATTGTAAATTAATGTATAAGGTACCTATTAAAGTTTACTGTAGATAAATTATTTTTAATTTGAACTGGTATTACATGTAAATAAATAATAATTTGTAATGCAAGATTGGGACATGGATTAAAATCCATACCATACCTACTATCTATGTCCTACATACAATATTATTTTAAGGTTTTTATTTTTTTTCGCTACATATTTACTTTTTGAAACATCTGCATTAGGGGTAAACGTTTTTCCTTCAATACCATATTCTTCATTTCATGCAGCCAACCCCATTCTTTTTGTAAAACATGAAATGTACATAAAAGTAGTCTAGATGATGGCCAAACTTGCTTTAGTGCTGATCTTTCAGCGGCAGAGTCATCAGTCATAAATGCAATAGGCGCCTATAATTTGAATCCATCTTCATATTAATCTCAAGAGATTAAGATAATATATGTTGTTTATTATAATAACTCACCTCATTKCCACCAAAGCACAATGGGAAATGTTTTTTAAGGAGACCAAAAGCATTTTTATATCCTTCACATGATTGGCCTTCATGCATCAGYATTCCAATAGGAACTGCACCAGCGTTACTTACTGAAAGTACTGTAGTCAGAGTAGTTTCCATTGTATCACAGCTACTTGTACTATCACAGAAAACTAATTCTTTTGATGATGATAAAAGCTGTACTCT